ACCCCTATTGCTTTCCTCTCCTATAATGTCTCTGCCTGCTTTTGCTACTATAATAAGCATCACAGAATGAGTTAGGAAGGATTTCTTCCTCTCCTCCTTTTTGGAAGAGGTTGTAGAGAATTGGTATCATTTCTTCCTTCCTTAAGTGTTTGCTAGAAGTCACCAGTGAACACATCTGGGCCTGAACTTTCTGATTTGGAAGATTAAGGATGAACTCAGTTTCTTTAATAGATATTTGCCTATACAAATTTATACTTCTGTGAGTTTAGGCAGATTGTGTCTCTCAAGGAATAGATCTAAGTTATGAAATTTGTGGGCAGAGTTGTCCGTAACATTACTATCCTTCTAATGTCCATGTAATCAGTTGTTATGTCTTTCACTTCTCATATTGACGACTTGTATCTACTCTTTTTCTTAGTTAACTTAGCTGAAAGTTTATTACTTTTATTGACCTTTTCAAATAATTAACTTTTCGTTTTACTGTTTTTGTCTTTTCAAAGATCTGATTTCTGCTCTAATTCTTATTATTTCCTTTGGTTTGCTCCTTTTCATTCAATTAACTCTTCTGTTTCTAGTTTCCTAAGGCGAACGCTTAGAATATCGGTGCAATTTAAGATCATTAGTTTGTGTAACCTGATTTATGAAATTGGATAATGAAATGTAGTATAACACCTTTACACCCTGTCGGTCCATAAAAGCCTCACTCTGACCTTACTCTGGCTCTGCTCCAGTCTCAACCCACCTTCTCATATAATCAAAAACCCATGACCCAGATATGTTTCTGGGTACGCTGGACCTGTGATTTTACAGCCTAGTTTACAACCCTGAGTGACATATAGCCTGTCTGTGGCTTCTATTCTGAACTCTGCCTTAGAGGGCAGTTACTTCCAGGGGTTTGTACAACTGAGGCTGAGGGGTGGAGAATTCACATATGTACACTCAAGGCACCCTACGGCTTGAAAGGGAAAAATGCGATTACGGACTAGATATCCCTCTGCACAGAACACATTTTATTTACCATTTTGTTATTTTGATTTATGTGTTTTAAGTGGTTACATATTAGCTTTGGGGGCCTCCTTTCCAGAGGTTCCTCCAGGCCCTGACATACCTGGGAGATGCTGAACTACGAGTGTCTGGTTTCGATTCACAATCATATTAACTTCCATTATGCATATGGAACACACACAGTTTATAGAAGGCAGCATGTGTAGATAGAGGAGTCCTGTAAACTTAAGGGATACTTCACGTAAGCATTTAATGGTGTTGCCCTAATATTTCAATTATATCTCCTTTTTAAAAACTTCATATTCTCATCAATTGCCAGGATTAAGATTGCAGAAATGGTATGGTTATTAACACCAGGGAACTTCTTGTGGTGAAATCCTGATTCCTTTGTAATCCTAATGCAACACAGGTTCCAGATTCCTTTTCGATTTTGTAGCCTGTATCGACAGGTACTCAAACCATAAGCGACAATATTTTGTAGAACTACACATACACAAAAGTGCACGTAAAAACAACTGAAGTGTGAATGACGTATGTGACTTAGCATTATGGTACCATCCACATTTCTGCTAGAGAATATACCATACTTATGTAAGATATCTTAAGAGGTAGCTCGGGAAAGGGCAAATGAGAATTCTCTGTATTACTGCAACTTCTTTTAAATTCATTGTTTCATTTTACTACTTTTTGTTTGTACATTGCACAATATTCAACTATAAATTACAATTTCTCATGTTTCCTGAAGACAAGTATGGCATCAAAACCAAACCACAAGTTCCAATGTTATATTACTTCTAAAGACAATCTTCAAGCTATATGTCTCAAATTGAAGATTTCTCCTGAATAGAAATTCTGACATAACCTAGTTTGTATTTTTGCCACGAAAAAAAAAAGAAAAAAAAAACATTCACAAAAGCAAAATTCTGCAAGGTTTTATACCCACATTTGCTAGGGTACATTCAACGGAATATTATTTAACAAGACTGTCCTATATGTTTTCCAGTCTGCTTCGGGGTAAAATAAGGCCAGTTTGTGGATGAAGGTCACTCAACATTCAGAACATCGACATTACTTCTTCTACAGCGTGCGTTCTCTGAAGCATAGCGGCTACTGAACCACAGCTCAACATTCCTAACACCCACTGCAATCATAAGGTTTTTCTCCTGTATGTGTTCTCTGATGTACAATGAGGTTTGACTTCTGAGAGAAGGTTTTTCCACATGTGTTACATTCATAGGGCTTCTCGCCTGTGTGTGACCTCTGATGCTTAGCAAGGTCTGATTTTCGGTAAAAAATTTTCCCACATTCATTACACTGACAAGATTTCTCCCCTGTGTGAGCCCTATAATGCACTGTGAGGGATGATTTGTGACTGAAGGATTTCCCACATTCGTTACATTCATAGGGTTTTTCCCCTGTGTGTTTTCTCTGATGTAAAGTAAGTCCTGACTTCACACAGAAAGACTTCCCACATTCATTACATTTATAGGGCTTTTCTTCTCTATGAGTTCTCTGGTGCACAATTAGAGCTGATTTGTGACAGAAAGCCTTTCCACATTCATTACACTCATAGGGTTTCTCTCCTATGTGGATTCTCTGGTGCTGAGTGAGCTGAGACTTCTGGCAGAACGTTTTCCCACATACATTACATTCGTAGGGTTTCTCCCCTGTGTGTGTCCTATTGTGTTTAGTCAGGTACGATTTATTATAGAATATTTTTCCACATTCGTGACATTCGAAGGGTTTCTCTCCTGTATGTGTCCTGTAATGTTGAGAGAGGGTAGACTTATGGCTGAAGAATTTCCCACATTCAGGACACACAAAGGGTTTCTCCCCTGTGTGAGTTCTCTGATGCACTGTGAGGTCAGACTTCAAGCAGAAGGTTTTTCCACATTCGTAGCATTCATAAGGTTTCAACCCTGTATGAATTATCTGATGCCTAGTGAGAACTGACTTGTGGTAGAAAGTTTTCCCGCATGCATTACATTTGTAGGGCTTATCCCCTACATGGGTTCTCTGATGTTGTGTAAGATGTGACTTCTGACAGAAAGATTTCCCACAGTCAGGACATTCAAATGGTTTCTCTCCTGTATGAGTTCTCTGATGCACTGTAAGGTGTGAATTCATACAGAAAGATTTCCCACATTCATAGCATTCATAGGGTTTCAACCCTGTGTGTGTTCTCTGGTGTTTGGTGAGGTCTGACTTCTGGTAAAAAGTTTTTCCACATGCACTACATTGATAGGGTTTCTCCCCTGTGTGTGTTCTCTGGTGTAACGTGAGGGCTGACTTGTGGCTGAAGGCTTTACCACACTCATTGCACACATAGGGCTTCTCCCCTGTGTGTGATCTCTGATGTTTCGTGAGATTTGACTTCTCCCAGAAAGTTTTTCCACATTCATTACACTGAAAGCGTTTCTCTCCCGTGTGTATCCTCTGATGTCGAGTGAGGTGGGACTTCTCCCAAAAGGCTTTCCCACATTCATTGCATTCAAAGTGTTTCTCTCCTTTATGATTTGTTTGAAGTTGTGGAAGGCATAAATCCCCCTGGAAATGATCCCCACTCTCACTACACTCCGAGGGTTTCATACGTGCCCCATAAGGTTTCAAAAGGGTAGACTTCACACATAACGATTTCCCACAAGTACCAAGTCCACAGTGATTTTCTTCGGAGGCATTCATGTGATGTAACAGGAAAGAGGAGTTAGGAAAGAAGGTGCTCCCATATTCAATACATTCAGAGTGATTCTCTTCAGTGATCTCTCTCTTGTACGTACTCAATATTGCCTTTTCGGGGAAGGTTTCTTGATACATGTTATATTCAAATGTTTGATCTACACTTTGAATCTTCTCATGATCAACAGGGTCCTCATCCTGACTGAAAGTTTCCCCATGTTTAAAAAATTCACTTTTCTCGCTAGTAGGAGTTTTCTTGTGTTCAATACTGAGTAGTAATTTTCCACAGTCATTAAATTCATCAGTCTTTTTTCCTAAATAGTTTTTCATATAGATACACAATTCAGAAATACAGCTGAAACTCACTCCATATGAGTCACACTGACAGAGGCTCTCTCTGGAAGGAAAC